ATTTTTTTTAGTAATATATTATATATAAGTAAGATTGTTTGTCTAAACTTATTATAGATTTAACAAAATATCTAAACTTTAGTTTTGCTAATTTATTATTAAGATTTTGATATAGTTTCACATTTTTATAAGCTTTAATATAGTTTTATTAGAGTTTTAAATCAGATCAGGTCAGTAGATTTTCAGGTTAATATCAGGTTAGGTCAACAGGTCAAACTGACCTGATCTGATTTGATAAAATTCAGATCAACCAATCATTATTCTTGAATGATATTTTATCATTCAATTAGAATGATTTGTTATCATTTGAGAATAATATTTTATCATCTGAGAATGATGTTTTTATCATTTAAGAATATAGCTTTATCATTCAATTAGAATAATTTATTATCGTCTGAGAATGATAGTTTTATCATCTAAGAATAATAGTTTTATTATCTGAGAATGATGATTTTATTGTTTGAGAATAATGTTTTATTATTCAATTAGAACGATTTCATTATTGTTTAAGAATGATAGTTTTATCATTCAAGAATAATGATTTTATTATTCAAGAATGACGGTTTTATCATTCAAAAATAATATTTTATAATTCAATCAGGTCAGGTCAGATCAAATGAAAATTTCAATTAGGTCAGATTATTTTTGACCTAATTTGATCCTTTCAGTTTAAGTAATTTGATTGACCTGATCTAAACTGATCTATTCGAAGCTTTAAGTTTTATCTTTTTCAGAATTTCACAGTTTTTTTAATAAGATTTTAATATAATTTTGCTAAATTTTACCTTTTACCATTTAGACGACTTGCAAAACCTCTAGATTTCATCTAGCAACCTTATACATAAGTAATACTTTATGATTTTAAATTAAATCATCAAAATTGTATCTCTTAAATTATCTAGGTAGTAAATTTGTCTATGAACTTAAAAAAAAAAAAGTATTAATTTTTTAATATTATATTAAATAATAATATAAAAAAAATTATAATTATATGAAAAATATATATTTTATCAATTTTATTAGAAAAAATTTTAAATAATATAATTTTAAAACTTAAGTTTTAAAATTTTTATTATAATAATTTTTAATAATTTCTTTAAAAATTTATATGTTTATAAAGTGATTAAATTATTTTACTATTAACAAAAATTATAAAATTTCTTAAAAATTATAATATTATAATAATTAATAATTATTTTTTATGATAAATTTTATAATATTCTATTATAATTAATATTACTAAAAGTAAATTTTAATAAGATTGTCAAAGATTAATGATAAAATTTTTGAATTTATAAGTAACTTTAGATTTTTTTTTTATATAATTAAAAAATAAAAATTATTATAATATGATATATAAATAAAATTTTAAATCTTTTAAAAAAAAATTATGCATGTATGATAATTTATTATTTATTGATTATTATATAACAAAAATTATTAAATGATATTTATTTAAATTTAGAAATATTATAGTTAAGTTATTTATATTTAAGCATCTTTTTCATAATGTAAGTTTAAATAAATTTTAGACTTATATATATTAATATATAAAATAAATAAAAAGTTTAAATTACAAATAAGAAATATAGTTTTTGAAAAGAATTTAATAATAATAAATATAATATAAATCTATAATAATAGATTATTTAAAAATTATTTAAATAATTTCTTTTTATAATTGAAAATTTACAATGAATTTTTATACTATTTGTTATTTTTCTAGATAAATGATTATGCATTTAAATTAGTTAATTAATTATACTTAAAAATATCTAATTAACTATAATATATGTGAGGATAAACACATATATCTAATCATTTCAGGTAAATATAAAAAACTATATAATAATTATCTTATTTTATTTGATTTAATTTAGTTATTACATTAAATTAAATATTTAATTATTATAATATAATAAAATAAAAATTATATAAAATTAGGAAACAGAATTATTATGTATCTAAAGCATTTGCATTATTTAATATCATAAAAAAATAAAAATTTAATTTAACATTAATTTTTTTTTATTATCATCTGATCATATAAAATATTGATTATTATATTTAATCTCAAAATTTGATTAGATATTTTCATATAATGATAGATAGATATTGCATGATCTTAAGTGTATATAATATTCTTCCTTTATACTTTAATAATAAATTAATATTAATTATTATTTTTTAATTATTTATTAGTTTTAAACATAGTAAAAGACTATAAAATTACATTATAGATTATATGATATACTATATTTGTAACTTAATTTAATAGTAACCTTTCATAACTTTTAATCAATTTGATGTTTTGATATCTGTTATTCAAATTTAACTAAAACTATTTTCTAATTTTATTATGTTATAATGCAGAATCTCTATAATAAAAACTTTATTATAGTAAAAATAAAACAAATTTAAAATGTAAAAAAAAAATTTTATTATATATAAAATTAAAATTTAATTTATAAAATAAATAAATCATAATTTGTATTTTAAGAAACTTAAATTAGAATTTTAATGTTTTCAATATTAATAAAGTTATACCTGATTAAATTTATCTAAAATTAATTATAAAACTAAAATTAAAAAAAATATGTGATGATGATAAATTTATAAAAACTATAGTTGCCTAGCAAAACTCATTTTAGCAAATAGCAAAAGTCAAAATCTTATATTTCAACAGATTTGTTAATAAATATATAATATAATTTTGACTTTAATAGGATTTTATTATAGTTTCAAATTTTGATGGATTTGCTAATAAGGTTTTATTACAGTTTTGTTAATAATCTTGTTAAAACCTGAAAGGTTTGTCAGGTAACTATAATAAGAATGATTCTTTTATCATTAATATATTTTAACTTAAATATTATTGTAAATTAAATTATATAAAGATGTATTAGGATACAGTTAAAGAAATACACAAGAATATTGCAATTACACATAAGTTGGATTATAATAAATTATTTATAAAGCATTAGATTCAATTTCTTTTAATTACAATTCAAAAATATGCATAAAAATCATGACTGGTATATGAATATTTGGGAACTAGTCCAGCAAAAGCTGAGGTTCAGCCAAAATTTTGATTTTAAAATTTTATTATAATTACATATTTATTGATTTAATTTTTCAGAAAATAAAAATAATTTATATATAGCATATTAAAAAAATATAATATTTTATAATTTATAATTGTTATATTTAATGAATGAAATAAACTTGCTAAAGAAAAACTAATGCTTTAATAACTTCCTTGCAAAATTTTATCTTAGTTTACATAAAACCAATTTTAAAAAATCTTTAAAAATGACAGAATAAATTGCAGTTTACTAAATTAACTAATAATTTTAAACTGCGATTATCTCGAAATCACGTGATTGCCGAACCCCGGCTTTTGCTGGACTGGTCCCCATTTATAGCTAGAAAAATGGCAGAGTTTGCAGCTAAAAAAATATAAGTTTCATCATCATGTATCTGATGCAATTTATAATGAAATAATAAATTAAAATAAAATAAATTGTTTCATAAAACTTTTAATTCTAGTTTATGATTGGTTCATATCTATGTTACACGATATTACATAATTTACAAAATTGAAAAGAAAGCATTTTTTATAAATCGATTCATTTTTACAAATATAAATCAATTTTTTTTTATTTGATTAAAATCTAATCAGTAGATTAAATTTTATTAATGTTTTTTAAGTTCCTGTTATAGAGGTTTCGCACTGTATAAAAACATTTTATATATTTTTTTTCTTTATTTAGTACTACTCTAATATGTTTATATACTGCTTTGACTTTAAAGAATTAATTAAATATGTACCTAAACGGTATATTCATTGAACTAATAAAATTGACTTTTTTGATATTAAAAATTAATAAATTTTAATAAGTAATTATTATAAAATCCGGTAGGCCAGGGAACGGGGGGATAATTTTTTATGGAATTTAATTAATTTCGGATGAATTTCGGATGATTATCTCATTTTCCAAGTTTTGTGAGGATTTTGTTTTCTGGAAATCAACTAATAATTTAAGTAAGAACCACAATTATTAGGGGGAGCGACTTTGACAAATTTTTCTCGTATATCAAATGACATGCCTGATGGCAAATCATTATATCGTTGACGATGAGACAGGGTTTTTATTACTAATTCTGTTTTTTTAAAGAAAACATGAAATTTTATTAGATTTCGGCATCATCATTAATTGGTGTTATTCCAAAATTATGTCTCTAACCAGAAGAATTCTTTTTTGTTTTTTACTTTAAAATTTATGGAGAAAAGATTAATTCTATTAAGCAAAGATGGACCGATGATTTGCGTGTTACGAAAATTAAAAAAAATTTCGCTTAAAGTTTTAACCTTTAGCATGTAATTATTCTTAAAGTTCATGATTCTTTTTAATACAATCCAAGATTTTCTTCATCGCTTTTTAATAAATAATTGGGACAAAAAAATATGAGATCTGGGCGGAAATATTTGATTGGAGATAGCATTTTATTGCCACATAACATAAAGGCAAAAAATAACCCGCTTTCAATTTAAAGAAATTCTGCCTTATTCCAACTTGGATTTTAAATTTAGAAAATAAATTGTGAAGCTTCAACTTTTTTTTTTTTTAATGATCTAATAACAAATTTTCGTGTAAAAACTGTAAAAAAAAAATATGTACAAATGATGCAATATGTTGTTCTTAATTTGTATAAACATTATTTTGGTTAAATTGAATTGCAACCAAGAAAAATTTTAGTTAGCAAGTCGCAAATTATAATATGAATTAATACATTTTTTGATTAGCGCTATCGGAGTAGAAGCACTTTTTTTGTGCGGGTTAAAGAAAATAATTGCATTATGTTAAAATTCGTACGATCTTGATGATCGGATTGACCATGTATTTTCCAATATTGAATTTTATATAAAAACGCCATCAAACGACATTATCGATTTTCCGTAAACAAAAACATTATCTCATTAATTATTTCTTTCAGTCATGAACAAAACACTTGCTTTTATATTCTTTTTAATTATACTTATTAAAGTTGCAAGTGTCCCGGCAACCGCTCAAACAAATGATCAAGGAAATGTCTCAAACATTATAGCTTGCCCATTCCCAATGATTCCATTGAATTTAAAAGAAGGCTTGTCACAGGACAATACTTCATTATGTCAAAATGGTTGTTGTTTAGCATGTCCTATCGTGAATAACTTTTATAAAACAGGTCAAATTGACTTGATATATCGTACTTTAGGTTTTATAAGATTAATATCGTTTATCTGTATATTAATTTTGGTTGCCAGTTACATTGTACTGCCTAATAAACGGGAAAATCCCGCTTTGATCGTTCTCTGTTTTAATTTAAGTCTTTTGATCTTTCTTGGGGTGTCCTTCTTTTATTTTGGAGATTTTAAAAGAATTCAATGCGTCAATTCAATAACTCAATCAACCATGCAAAATAATACTTTATGCGGCGTTCAAGGTAGATAAACTAAAATTCTTTTTATTTATTTATTTATTTTTAAAAAAAGACAAAGTTTACTAATTTTTTTTTTTAAAAAAAATTTAGGAACGATTTTAATATTCTCAACGTTCCTTCTCATATTATGTTGTTTTTATTTAATTTTACATCTCCACTTTCAAACTGTATGGAATTCGACATTTCTCCAAAAACATTATAAAATAGCACAAGCAATAATTTTACTTATATCAACTGTATTTGCAATATTGCCGGTTGTATTGCAAAAGATTGAATTTGAATTTGGAGCCGTTTGTTTGGTTTCATCTGAATCATCGAATTTATTATTTTGGTATCCTTTGGCGGTATTCGTTATTCCAGGATTCATGATACATGTTTGGACTTTTGTTTTTATTGGAAAAGTAAGCAAATGATGTGTGCTTTACTTGTCTCATACCCTAACCATTAGTAACATCATCTTCTTTCTTACAGTCTCAGTGTATGTTTAACTCGGGTTTTGAAGATTCAACACTAGTGGAAGAAAGCTCAGAGACAAAAGGAAAATCAATAACAGAAATTACAGGTAGTGAGATAGTGAGAGCAGTAAAGGTTCAATGGCGTGCTCTTATGCTAGCTTTAATATTTATGATTACTTATATGATATATTGGGTAAGTAACGAAAATATTTTTTACATCTATTTTTTTTTTAAAACTTCCCTAACGCGTAAATTATATTTTTTATATAGTCATATTTTATTTTTGAAATAAACAGAAAATTATATCCAGGTACATTTCTGGAACCATGGTTCTCAACATGGTTAAAATGTATTATTGAGAATGGGACCAAAAGTAAAAATGCACAAAACATATGTTCAGTTTATTCGATAAATTATGTTCCAAATGTTGCATATTTAGCCACTGCCGAGTCTTTAACGGCTTTATTAGGAGTTAGCATATTCATTGTATTTGGTACAAGTGTTGGTCTTTGGTCTGAATGGAAGTTATTTTTAATGAACAAATTTGGTGCTTCCGAAACTTTGTCAAATAATAGATCTTGGGTATAATTTTTGGTGGTAATAAGGAAAATTAACTTTATTCGACGGGGTTTTCATTTTTGTTATTTACATATTTCCAATTTATTTTTTCTTAAATGCATCATCATACTTGTACACTAGTCATTTATTTTTCTTATATAATTCGTGGGAAATTTGCGGGAACAATTTTTAATTTTTATACATTCATCTTTTTTTTTTTAAAAAAAAAAAAATCCATACCATCATAGTACATAAATTTAACTATTTCTTTCTCATCAAATGTCCTTCATTTTGTAATAGTACATAATTCATTGAACAATAAAACGCATTTTAAAAAAAACGTTTTTGTTAGTCCGGAGTGTAACGTAGGACTATTTAAATACGAGACTTTTGAGTCGATGTTTTATTGGCACGCATTTGTTTCACTGCCGATCTATTACGATTATTTTTTATCACTTGAATTTAAAATGGGACTTGCCATTACCTAAGTAATATTTATGAACTATTTATTTATTATAAGACTAACTAGGGTCTTTCGAATATTCTGTGAAAAATCCGAATAAGGTTACATCCGATTACTTATGGTAACTTCACGGGTAATCGCCGAATACTCGTGTAATCATATGGGAGTGTTTCTAGGAAAATCAGGTTCCGAGAAATTTTTGACTAAAATTAAGAGCTTAATACATTTTAATCTAATTACATCAAAAACTAAAATGCAATAAAAATCTCAATTTTGCTAAAAAATTCCCGGAACCTGATTTTCCTAGCAATCTACCCATATGGTGAATGAAGTATATTTTAAGAATTAGCATTAACAAATATTCTCTTTTTGATAATTTTAATTTTTATTAGTATCTTCTATATATAAAAAGTTATTTATATAATTTAAAATTATATATATTTTATAATATAAATAAAATAAATATATTTTAATAATTAATATTTTTAACTAAATTAAAATAACTGTTGAAAAAAATTTTTATTATGATTAAAATTGATTATAAACATAATTTTAATAGGATTCTATATTATGTTAATAAAAATTAATAAACTTATTTATTTTTTTAAAAAATATTAATAATTAATTTTTTAAATAATTAAATTAGTAAATATATAGTGGTTTAAAAAAAATGTACTACTATACTGCTTATATTAGTCATGTGTTTTACGTTCAACAATAAATCTGTTTAATTAATATTTTTTAAATAAGTAATACAGATATAGATCTTTGATAAAAATAAAAACTGAATAAAAAAATTTTTTTTTATTTGTTAATAATAAATTTTATAATAAATACTTCATTTTGTATACTTACACTCCTTTAAAAACCTTTTTATTATATTATTATTTTAAGGTTCAGTTAACTTCTGAACAGAGAGCACAAGTAATTATACTGTTTAAAAACAGCTTTACCTCAAGAAAAATTGCTGTCAAAATTGGTTGTAAAAGTCATACAACCATTTCAAGACTCAAAAAAAAGTATGAAGAGGCTAGTAAATTGAAAATAACTCAGGTTCAGGTCATCTAAGAAAACTGAATAAGCAAGATAAATGGTCTCTTATAAGACATTTAATGATAAAGGAATGTACAACTGTGATTTAATTATTGTGAAAAATGCCTTAAATTTGCAAAGAGATATAAAGATTAGACAATAATGAATGAAGCAAGATTGTATAGTCAAATGAGTCCAAATTTCAAATATTTAGTTCAGATAGATATAAGTATTATTTGAAAAAAAATAGAAAAACCCCTTCAAGATACTTATATTAAACTTACTGTTAAGTTTAATGATGAAAGTATTTTTGTATAAGGATGTTTTACATCTTGTGATATAGGTTATCTTTGTAAAATAAATAGTAAGCTTGATACAAAACTTTATCATAAGATTTTAGATAAAGATTTTATGGAGACTTTGCAGTATTATGAATTAAGTACTAATAATATTATCTTTATACAAGATAATAATCCTAAATATACTGCTATACTAACTAAAAAATGGTTTAAAGACAATAATGTAAAGCTAAATTCAATTGAATACTTATGAAATAATATAGATCATCATATTAGAGTATTAGATATTGAAATTAGAGGAAAGAATATGTTATAGAAGCAAATTCATAAAATATAGAAAGAAATTGTATTAGAAACATATATTAAATTAATAGAATTAATACCAGAAAGAATAAATAATGTAATCAAAACAAAAAGTGATTATACTCAATAGTGAGAATATTTGGTGAAATTTTTAATTAAGATTAATCTAGTTTTTTTAAAAAAGTTTAATAAATTTGTTATATTTATGAAAGCGTCATATTAAATATATTATTATTTAAATAAATTTATAAGTAATTTTATTTATTAATTAAAATCTTTTTAAAAGTTAATATTTTTATAATAAATTTTATGATATTATTAATATATTATCTTTATAAGTTACAATATTAAGATATGATATTTAAAAGTTAACTCTTTTATAGATTATTAGTAAATTAATAGTTAATAAGTTGAATAAATAGTTCTATTATATACTGTAAAAATATATTTCTATTTAGTTAGTTAAAATTAAATATTAATTACATTATTTAAAAAAAAGGATTACATAGAAATTTCAAGTAAATTAAAAGGTTTATTAAAAAAAAAATAGACAAATAAAAAATAAAAATAAAAAAAAATAAAATAATTAGGATAACATATAAAAAGTTTAAAAGTTACTTACAGCCTTTAAATTAACTAATTAAATTATGTCTATCAACTAATCATTACCTTTTTCTATAATAAATTTGATTTTTTATATATATACTTTTAATATTACATATTAAATAAATCAATTATATTAATTATATTAGTTATATTAGTGATATATTATCATATAATATAATTATATTATATAGTAATATATCATTTAGAATAGATTATAGTATTACTATATAATCTGATATTTTATTATAGAATTATTTTTATTACTACTCTATAATTTAATATCTAAATCTAATTACTATTTTATAATTTAAAAGATATAGTCTAATGTTGCTATATGATCTACTTTTTCTTTTTATCAATTATTTTTTTTTGTTTTAGTTATTTATCTAATATTTGTAAATAAATTATTACTTAGTTATAAATATCACCTTATAATCTAATTATCATTTACTATTTAGTTTAATTATCACTCTTTTCTTTTATTTTTAAATTATTTAATCATTAAGTTCTTTGATAAGAATATTGGCTTTCTGTTTCTGTTTAGATATTAGTTTCATAATAAAATTCTAATTAGAATTCCAAATGAATCGAGTTAAGTCAAGTTTAAAGATCAACTCTATTTGACTCATTTTTTTCAAGTTAAGTCGAGTTAAATTTATTTTATAAAATCTTTCAACTTGACTTGATTTGAGTTATATAAATTTTAAACTTAACTCAATTTGACTCAACTTGATTTTAACTTGACTTAATTTTGACTTGAATTTATTCAAATTGAGTTAAATTCAAATTAAGTTTTGAGTCAATTTAAATTAATTTATAAATATTTATTATAAAAAAATTATACTCACCCTTATTCGTAAAAACAAAAGATAAAAGTAAAAATTAAATTAAAAAATAATAAAAATTTACGAAAAAATATAAACTTGACTTGATTTAAACTTGATTCAACTTAACTGATTCATAAGTTAACTCGATTTATCTAAAACTTTAATTCTGATCTTTAGTATTAGCTTGATTATTAGATAGAGTATTAGAGATATATTATAGGATTACCTTTTTGTATTAATCTAGTTGCTAGATGAGGTATTAAAGATAAATATAAAGGTTATCCTTCTTTGCTGAATTAGTTGCTAAGTGAAATATTCTGTTAAAATTTTTGACAAAAAAGAATTTATAAGAAAAAAATGGTAAAATGAGTTATACTCTTTTTTTCTCTTAATTGCCATTTTTTGAATGTTAGATAAAACATAAAATGCAGAATTTATAATTTATTTATTATTTAAATATTTTACAATCTACTTGCTATTTTTTAATTGCTAAGTAAGATATATACGAAATGCTAATATTTACTATTCTTGTAATCAATCTTTTATAACTTGTTTTATTGCTAAAGTTGAAGCACAAAATGTTGAATTAGTTAAGATTTTACAGTTTTCATACCTGTTTTTTTATATTCTTAGTCTCTTTCTTGCATATCATTAGTATTATATTAAAGTAAAATTTCTTATCTTTTTTTTATATATAATTTTACCTTAACATAATACTAAATCTATACATATTTTAGATTTCTAAATTTATTTTCATATAATTATTACTTTAGGTTTTACTATATTGATTACTTTTAAATATTACCATTGATCCAATCATTTGTTAACAAATTTTAGTGAACATGAATTTTATTATTTAAAGTTTTCAATTTTTTATGTAATTGTATATTTTATTATCATATTATTATATTACTTACATAAAAACTCAGGCCTAATCTTAGTAAAATAAATGAAGTAATAAAGTTCTTTTTTGATTTAGTAAACCTTGATTATAAGTTTTGCTATAATAATCATAAATACTTTTAATATTTATTTAATATTACTCTTTTAGATGCTTATCATCTTAAAGAGATTTTTGATAAATATATAATTCAGATGGCAAAAAGGATTTTATAGTAATTGATTATCTATCTAAAGTTTATAATTACTTAATACTCACAAGTATATTAATAGAAATTTATTTCTTTACTTAGTTTTAGATATTAATATAAGACAAAAGTCTGATTCTATAAATTTTTTATTTTTTTCTTTAAATGTAAATAAAATTTTTTATAAAGATTTATTATTCAGAATTTAATTATCTGAGTTGATATTATATACTATACTACAATAAATTACCGGATTTTATAAATTTTACTTAGTAATATATAGTAAAATTGAAAATCTTCAGGTTGCATAAAAGTTTACAATTTTTCAATAAAAGTCATCTGATTTTTTTTTATTTAATAGCTGATCAATTATA